GGTTGCGACTTAAAGTGTGAATTGTTTATTGGGTATAAGCTGGAGGGGGTGTTTTGTTGGGATATGCAGACAGGCTGGGTGAAAGTGCGCTAAATGTGAGTTAAATGCACATTTTCTGTTGAGAAGGGGAAGGTGAAGCAGTAATCTGAAAGGAAATCTCTGAGTTTTTGGCTGTAAAGTAAAGGCAGTGAGGGGAGAACATACTATATAGGATACAAAAAGCAGAGCACAGTGTTAGAGGAAGAAGTAGAAGAGATGAGGTAGTTAAGATTTGATCCCACTGGTTTAAATAAGACACTGTTTCTATTGGGGGAAGTGAATATTGTTAATGTAAGTGAAAATGATGAGCAGGTAATAATGCAAAATGTAATGCAGAAAGGGTAAGTTTGCAACGGAGGATGAGATTTAGAAGGGAGACGAGGAACAAATCGAGATAAAGTGTAGGAAGCACAGAAAGTAGTAATAGATTTATTTTAAATGCATCTTTTGTATGTATGTACACTTAACTAGATCCTGTTGTGCAAACTCCAGTATATAGGTGGCGATGTGCACCTTTTCTAAACGTGTGAATGAATGTCTGACGTTTACTTCTCCCTGTCAGGTTGCAAAGGCGCCCAGGTGGAGGAGATCTGGAGTATGGAGCCAGAGAACTTTGACAACTTGAAGTATGTCCATGCTTGCAGCTTCACTATGTTTACTGTATGAAGGCAGGTTGTTTTAATGCATTTGTTGTGTTTCAGACCAGTTCATGGGTTGATTTTCCTCTTCAAGTGGCAGCCAGGTGAAGAGCCAGCAGGGTCGATTGTTCAGGATTCCCGGCTGGACCACATCTTCTTTGCAAAACAGGTCAACAAACGAGTTTCTTATTATTAGCAAGACATTATTAGTTTGCAGCTGCAGTAGCAGTAAAGTCAATAGCCCAGAAAATTATAGCCTCTATCTGCTCCATTTGACCCAATATCTTACCTGCTGAAATACAGCTCCAAAAGAAAGACAAAGAGATGATAAAGAGTAACATTTTTTATCTATATTTTGCCAACTAAGGGTGCACAAGAGAAACCCAAATGTAATTGCAAGACATTGTTATCTCTCGTGTGAAGTTGTTCAGCCAAATTGGATGACGAATTAGACAATAAACGGCTGTTCTTCGTAATTGACTGGGCCTGTGACATTAAGCACACAGCCCAAAGTGCAAGCGTGCTTCTCCTCACTCTGATAAGAAGATCTGATCCTTCAATTTCCAATGTGGTGCCTTTTCTTAAACCGTGCGTAAATTAGGGGGATGTTTTATCTGTCCAATTAATTACTGTGTGTGTTGTCTGTGTGTTTTCAGGTCATTAACAACGCCTGTGCCACCCAGGCAATAGTGAGCGTTCTGCTCAACTGCTCCCATTCTGACATGTTGCTCGGAGACACACTGACTGAGTTCAGGGAGTTTTCACAGAGTTTTGACGCTGCTGTACGTTCATGGTATTTTTCTCTTGAATCCAAAAACCTGTGACTTGGTGGTGTTTTTTTTTTTTTGTTTGTGCATTAGTTTTACTAATTTACTTGTTGTTGTTGTTTTCTTAATATAGTTTTCTGTTAGTGTATTTGTTATATGGAAACTATGACAACTAAGTGACATCAGCATTTGGCTTCCAAGTCAAATAATAGAGCAATGAATAATGTATTACTTTTCTAAAAATAATGTTAAACTCCTTTCCCTCTGGGAGCAATAATTTATCACACAACTCGATATAATAATTTCCCCTTCCATCGCTAGCACTGACAGTTTTATCCTCTTGCCTTCAAAACCGTGATGACTCAGTTGTCTGGCCCACAGATATTCAGAAGAACCGGGAAGAACTGATTTATGATGTTCAGGTTCTCCTTTAGTTGGAAAAACTCAAAGTAGAGAGCCTAGACAAACACTAGTTTCCTATAATTGAAACACTAATTGGATGCATAACTTGTTACTTGAAAAAGGAATGTATGATGTGTCCCATACAGCCCTTCACGATGCTGCTGTATCTTTTAACGGCAAGGTTTATACACTCAGCATTATAATCCTGCATCTCCCGCTCTCCTCAGATGAAAGGTTTGGCTCTTAGCAACTCCGAAGTGATCCGACAAGTCCACAACAGCTTTGCCAGGTAAGCTCCTGCTCATATCATATCCAGCTGGAGAAGCTCTGCTTGATTAGCTTCATGTTATTTTTAGCTCCTCATTCTAACTCGGTGTTTGGCCCATTTGTTGCGAATGCACCAGTCTGCCTTTGTGAAACAGAGTCATTTGAGGCTGCTTCATTTGTTGGTCACATAAAAAATGAGTCAGCGCTGATTCTCTAATTTAATGGCAAATAAAAACACAAATGTTGAACATTATGTACACCACATATTTGCGTCCCTACTTCCATTTTCCTGGATTTTTAATAGACAGAACACAAGCAGCATTTATTTGTATGATGCCTAATAAATATCTTAATTTTATATTTTATAATTGTGCCTTTTTTGTATTTGCAGACAGCAAATGTTTGAATTTGATGCAAAGTCGTCTGCAAAAGACGAGGACGCCTTCCACTTTGTGAGCTATGTTCCTGTTAACGGCCGACTATACGAGCTGGATGGACTTCGAGAGGGACCAATTGACCTGGGTAAGCAGAAAACCCTAATTGGTTGTTTTTCTTTTATTGCTTTATGTTTAAAGTCCGCCGGTTAGAGGTCCTGCTGTGCACAGCTACATTATTTTCTTGTTGGCCATGGCCCATTTCCCCTAAAACTGTCTGTTTATAAGATGATGTACAGTGTGTGCTTACAGTTACTGTATGTACGGACACCTGCAGTATTATTTATTCCTGTCTTGTCTTTTTCACCAGGTGCATGCAACCAGGATGACTGGATCAGCGCAGTTCGCCCAGTGATCGAAAAAAGAATACAGAAGTGAATATCTCTTATTTTAAATGAATTTTACTTTCCATCAGTTGATGTACATGTTTAATGCAGCATGTTTGCATCTCTTTCACTTTCTTTTAAAACAGGGTAATGACTTAGACACAAAAACAGAGTTACTGTAAAGTGATTAATGCTGGTATCGCAAGCTCTTTCATCCATCTCATTTGATTTTATTTGCCTTTTTCACAGTGACTAACCTTATAAAGCAGAGCTGGTGTTCTCTCTGTATATACAGACTTGGCTGCCAAATACTGTAATATCTTTGTTTTCCTGTTTGTTTTGACAGTGTATCATTCAGTACTTTGTAAAATTGTATTGTTTCCCTCTTCAGGTACAGTGAAGGAGAGATCCGATTCAACCTAATGGCCATTGTGTCAGACAGAAAGATGATATACGAGAGAAAAATCGCAGAGCTCCAGACCCAGCTTACTGAGGTGAGTGGCAGCAAAAGAGCCAAATCCAGCACAGGCATGACAAAGAGCAACGCATTCTTTTATTCTCTCTGTGTGAGGCTGCAGGTGGGAAGTGCATCAGTTGTCAGCCTTCTAAAGTGAGATCATAACTATATAGTGCTCAATTGGAGGAAAAAAAGTGCTGTGTTTTGTTTGGGACTCCATCCACTTATTTGTTTGGCGTGTTGGTCGACCAAAGATGATGCGTCAGATGCCGCTTTTGATGAAACCTAGTGTAATAATGCACATTTGTCACTGCATTTCAGAAAGTATGTCACCACAAGCTAAACAAATCCTTGTTCCACTGACCTGTTTCTGGTTGCAAGGTTCAGTCTGTTGCTTCTGATGCCACACCCAGCGTAATTATTGGGTGTTTGGAAATGTCAGAAGTGCTCTGTTGCACCTGTAACCAACCGCACCTAATAGTGATGTCAGAGTATACTGATCACACCACGTCCACGTCTGCATTACTGCAGCGAGGTAAGCTGTTCCACCACTGGAGGTCAGCAAACACAAGGTTTAACTTAATTTCATGAAAGCACTTCTGATGAAAGAAGGACTTTAGGGCGACAGTGAAAACCCTCGTGCAAATAATTAAGGAGTGCTTTTTGTTATATTCTCTATTGGCCTTGTTCAGGTAATAATAATGAAATACATATGCTTGAGTTTCCCAACGCACTATTCATAAGTCCTTAATTGACCCTTGTAAATGTGTAACAAACCCAGCAATTAAATCATTGTGTTGTGAGCTTCTAAAGTGCCATCAACATAAGAATCCTCATCACCAACTCTCCATCAACAGAGTGCTGATTCTTCCATCCAAACTGATCCAGATATATCGTGGTGTTATTGAATATAAAGTAT